AACTCTTGGGCTACTCTTTTACCAACGAATAGTGGGATTGACCGTCACGGCTGAAAAGGCGAGCATGTTTGGTGTAACGGGGATTCGAACCCGCGATCCACAGATTACGAGTCGAGCGCCTTAATCACATGGCCATGCCGGGCCCTAATATCCCTTGAAAAAAAAAACTCCTACAATTTAGTTGCTATGGCAAAATATAACACTTGCAAAAGATATAGGATGATCTTTTTTTTTTAAATGGGCATCGTATTGTCCCAGAGGTTCTTTGGTATTTTGCTTCATTTTGAAAAACCCTCACGTAATGTTTCCTTTGGTATTTTCTTGAATACAATCTCGGAAATCCATCTAAAAACTCATTCAATGTTATGTTTTGCATTCTTGTCAGCCAGTGAGGTACAATTTTCAACATTAACTTCTGAATAACTATCTTCAAAATCCAAGACAAAAGTAAATTTTGCTTCTTAAGAAAGGAAGCTTTTTCTTTTCATTTCTCGTTTATCTTGTGATCTTTTTTGGAAACTCTTTGCCCTATTTTTGTTTGATAACCTATCTTCAAAATCCAAGACAAAAGTAAATTTTGCTTCTTAAGAAAGGAAGCTTTTTCTTTTCATTTCTCGTTTATCTTGTGATCTTTTTTTGGAAACTCTTTGCCCTATTTTTGTTTGATAACTTTCAATGGATATTCCATCGTGGTCATATCTACATCGTCCGAATTTATTGCAATTGAAACACCTTTTTCACTAAATAGACCCAAGTACTAGAAGGTAAAAGGAACAAGATCGTCTTCTAAGCTCTTTTTTTTGGGTAGGGGGGGGGGGGGGATGGAAAATATTCATCCAAGTAATGACTAAATAGTATAGTAAATAACCGTGAAAAGCATCAGTAACACTGTAACCCCGTGAAAAGTATCTGTAACACTTCGTTTCACAGAATGGTATACATAGTTTACATCAATGTTTTTTTACATGTTTTTAGTGAATTCGAAAAATTTTTCCAGATGCTACATATTTTAGATTTATCACCAATCTGGGCATGATTAAATCTCGAATTTAAAATATCTTAAACCATCTGATGGAGTTTAGAAGTTTAATCTAAACAAATCTGGCACTAAATCCTTAATTATATCAAGAAATCGCGAGACATAAAAAATAAGAAACCCAATAATCCGAGCAGTTTCGGAAGACAAACCATCTTTTTGTCTGAGGGCAAACAGGTAGCAAGGAAGATTTGCATTCCAAAAGCGCTCAAGTTAATGAGCTCCTTATTACCATAAGATTTAATTTTAAAAAGTCCTATCGAAAGTAAAATAATTTTATAAACTTAAGTTATTGGAAAGCTGTATTTTTTTAAATCAATCTAACGTCACTGAATCGGATGTGTTTGTATTATAGAAGAAATATATATATATATATATCTCATTTAAAGTGTTTGATTTGTTTGTTTGTAATTAAGCACAAAGCTACACAATGGGCTATCTGTGCTCTGCCCACCACGGGTATCGAAACCCGGATTCTAGCGTTGTAAGTCCGCAGAAATACCGCTGTGTTTGAAGGTATTTATTTTTGTTACAAGGTACACTTACACCGAGTTGGTTTGCAACAAACGTTTAAACATTATAATTTTTTCTCTCAACTGTTTATAATATAAAAGCCAAATACAAACTATTTTCCAATTTCTAAACAGAAAAAAAACACTTATTTATAGAAAAGCTTCTTATTCCTTAACGTGAAAACTTAACTTAAATGTGCATGTATGTGAAGTCTATTAAAACCGACATAAGGTTATTTTCCAACAATTTGATACAAATGTTCCAGAACTTATAATTTGTTTAAGATTTCACAAGTAAAACATGCTTTCCCTACCTTTGTAACGAACGAAACTGTATCTTGTACAGGCAGAAGACTTAACGACCCACTACTTTTAGTTTCTCTAAACTCAGTTTAACCTCGTTTGTTATTAAGGTAAGCATTCTTTGAAAAAGGCAAATAATTAACCAAACTTTTAACAGTTTTTGTAAGTTTTTGTGTACAAGAGTGTTCAAATATCTTATGTATAAGTAAGTTTATGGCCAGAAAATTAGGAAGCAATAAGGGTGCTTACCAATAGTAGAACTGATGGTTACAGCATACAACAAAGACTTGCTGAAAGTCCAGTCACGGTCCCATTCTTCACTGTTGAAGGTCCCATCGTACGACATGTTATTCACAGATCCTACAATATAGAGCTCAAACTCACGAAGCTGGGTGTAAACTTTTTCATTCCATTCGACCAAAGTAAAATTCTTTCCTCTCCAGTACCAAAAGAGAGCCACGAGATAATTGATGGATTCGTTTACTTCTTTTGTCCGGATCAGTCTCTGTTCAATCCGATAATCTTCAGCGGGTTTTTCTATGGCTACAAATAGCCAGGCCCCGAAGGCAGAGAATCCGACGACAAGTAAAAATAGCCCAATATGGGAAAACAGAATTCGAAGCAAAAATTTGAAACATCTGTGCTTCTTCTCTTCGTCTTCCTCCATTTTCACCGACATGCTGGCAGGTGTTTAGGAAGAACAAAACTAGAATAACAGACTAGTTTATCGTTTCTGGCAACAAAAGACTGATTAATGTAGTAATTATGAAACTAAGGTTGACGAAAAGTACATCGTCCAGTTATTCCCTTCCCCAGCATCCACTCTCTTTCTTGTTTTCTGCAGCTTATCGCCAACAATGAATATCGAAAACACAGTAGCTAGTTCTGTTACTATAGCGACGGCGATAAACAATGTAGTTGCATAGAGACCCAGACCATCGTTACCAAAATTCCAAAACTCTGCACCATAAACATACCGTATGTATAACAAACGAAAGGTACACAGACTTGCCAAGATGTTGCATACGTAGTATCGATTCCTAGTTAGCATGGTAACTAAAATGTGTAATGTATCGGCATGTATGACAACTGTGAGAAAATAGAGGTGTTGTTCTTATTCTCAATTAAGTTATAACCGTTTCGCTTCTTTTGTTTCGTGGTTTACTTTAACTAGACTCAAGTACTGTGGTATCACAATGTATTTAGCAATAACTATTATTGACCATTTCAACCCATTTGTAAAATTAAAACCTACAAGCCTATTATACCATGTCAACACTGCAATTTCAACCAACATCAGCGCTTTTCAATCTAGCTAGGTTTAGGTTTTGTTAACTAATGTGATCTTGTATGTTTTCATTTTACAGTTCACTACTAATTTTCACTGGAAAACCGAATAACCTCAATTCTCTTTCGAAACGTAAGCCTGAAAATTATATCTGTGTCTAAAAATTACACAGTCATTTTTTTCACACTTAACCCTAGAACTACATCGTAGGGTAATCTGAACGTTAACCACAACGTGGGGTCGTATCCGACCCACATTATACTTAATAATGCTGCTACAAGTTTACTTGAAATATCACTCATCACTCGTAAGGAGGCTTATTGTTGTGGTTCTAGAGTTAAAACCATATACAGAAGGTTAATATCAAAGTAATTCTGGTTCATCACTCTTTGGTAACTGTTGACTGAGAAGTTTTAATTTTTCAGTTTTGAGAAGGACTTGTTCCCAGAAAAAGCTAAGGATCGTGTCTTCCAAGAATCGTAATCAAAAAACTGATATCAGAGGCGTGTAAAACATAGTATTTCAGGATTACCTTTTGCCCACCACAAGGAAACTTTTCGGTCAATACCAAAACTCGTCAGCATGTTGATCTTGATTCAAGGTTCTTAACCACTACTCCACAAATTATATTTTAAATTGTAACTTTGGTGAAAATAAAATAAATGTGTAATATACTCATTAAACATAAATTAGACGCAATACCATAATATTATTCACACATATAATTAACTTAGCTTACTTTTTGGTGCGTTAAAAAGGACTCAAAACTCCCACAAATATTAAGACATTTGAGTGCGTAATGTTGCAATTTCATTCCGTATTAAACGTAGAAAGCTGGCGAATCAATGAAACCATTAAGCCTTATATCTGTGATAAAACAGTCACGATAAAGTGCATCTGAATCCTTCCACAATACTCTAGTTTTGCTCACCTGATGCACTACAACCTCTGCTGTGCAATGCAGTTTCGCCTATTCAATGCTCATCAGTACAGCGTTGGTCAGCAAACCAAAGAGAACTAGCTCTCGAAATCATTAGGATAAGTGGTTAATTTTTAGCTTTCCTCAGTCCCCGATAGAATAATTAAGGGAAGATATCACTAGTTCCTTCTAAATCCAATATCTGCATTTCTGAATACTAAAACACAAAGTCGTTTGCTACCTAATATTTTATATATTTATTATCTTTATTATTAAGTAGGCTATACAAAATCATCTCTTCGCTGTCTTGTAACATTGCTACTCTTAGGGATAGTTTTATTCTTTGTTTTCCTAAGTTGCTATTAATATTCCTAAGAGCCTTGTTCTTGTTTGTGTTTTTCCTAGTGTTACTAGGGCTAATTTTTTGTTATGTTACGAAGCAGTCATTACGACTATGGTGTTCGTATTTTACTGTAACTCCTACCAGCATCGTTGTGACTATGTTTGCTAAAAAATCATCTTCGGGTACTTTGTATAGTTATTTATTGAATAAGACATGCATTATAAACTATTATGAAAGCAAGATAAGGAGAACTTAATGTTCAATAAAATTAAAAGTTACTTTTAAGTTTACAAGAACATCTTCTGTTAAGCTACATAACAATTAGTTCTAAATAAACTTACAAGTAAATCCTATGTCAAGCTACATATTAAAGATTCTAAGAACTTACAAGAACCCCTTCTGTTAAGCTACAAAACAATTAGTTCTAAATAAATCCTCTGTTAAGCTACATATTAACAGTTGGTTCTAAATTAACTTACAAGAACCCCTTTTGTTAAGCTACATATTAACAGTCAGTTTTAAATTAACTTACAAGAACCCCTTCTGTTAAGCTACATATTAACAGTTTTAAATAAGCCCTACAAGAAAATCCCCTGTTAAGCTACACATTACACTTACTTCTAAAAGAACTTACAAGAACACCTCCTGTTAAGCTACGTATTAATACTCAGTTAACTTCTCGTGACTGCAATTTACATTATAATTTACACTCATGTTCGTCGCCATTCCTGGCAATATTAGTTTCTCTTCCTTTGCACGTGAGATTTTTTAAAATTCATAACAACACTCGTAAACAGGATATGCGTAAAACGTTTGCTCAGTATAACTCGTCTCCTTAAATTTATTTTATTTTTGCTGCGACTACAAACTTCTAATCTAAGTTTTCACAGCGAGACTCTTTGTACCACCATCCATGAAAATCCTTGATAGTGTTTGCTGGTAACTTTCGATCATGGAGAGCAGCACACAGCTCACACCAACCATGCCCACCAGCTCCATATCTTTCTACCCTATGGGTCTTCTTCCATTCAAAATAGGAATTATATAAATCGTCGTATTTGTCTACGAGTAGTAAGAACTTAGCGAGTTCTTCCACAGATTGAAATTTTCGAGCATCAATGTACGAGTTCGGAGGTGCTATGTCGGAGTAATTTGCTCCTCCCAAAACAATAGGCACAACATTGTAATCAAGTACGTTAAAGAACTTCTCTGTTACGTAGTCTTTACAGACACTGTTTTCCAAAGCTAAGTAAAATTTGTAATGTTTTTCTAACCAGGCGTAGCACTCGTTACCCAGGTAGGGACATTTTATCTTTCCACAGCGTCCTACAATGTCGACTTTGATGTAGTGCTGTAGTTCTTCCACGAAAGATTCCCTCTTAGCTGGAGTGTGGCAGTGTGACACGAACCACGCGACTAGTCGTGTCTTTGTGGGAATAGTGTCCTGTGTAAGAGCGTTAAGGCTTAGCACGCGTTCTCGTTTAAACGTTGCTCCGAATGGTATAGGTATATGGGAATCTAGCCTATACGTCATGGACCAGTTGAAAATATTGTTGAAAATCGAGAAATTTGACTTTCCATGACGCAGTTTATCGTGAGGGGGTGCTTCCGTCATGAAAGCAACCCATCGCTGAGAGCCGAACCGATACTGCGGCATATCGTTGAGATCACACAAGTGGTACACGTGAAAAATTACGGCGTCACTCTTGATGATCTCTACTTTGTTGAACGTTGTCTGACAAGTTTTTACGTCACAGTTTTGAAAGAGTTTTGTTCCCAGAAAAAGACGTGGATCGTGTCTTCCAAGAATCTTGGTCCACAAAACTATTATCTTATAACCAGGTAATGGGTCTGGACTTGAAACGCTAATATTTTTGAAGCAGCAAAATGGTTGTTTTTTAGAAGCCAGGTCATCCACCACTTCTTCACTGATTAAAGTCCCATTCATCACACATCTTTTATTTACAGTGAGAAAAGAAAATTCTTGATCCTTCAATTCTTTGATAAGTCGTAAATCAAAGATCGTTTTCTTCTGAACTTTAAGGGTTAGTTTGGAATGCTGCACGTTGACGTCGTCTGGCACGTAGTAAATATACAACATGGACGTTATAAAAGTCCAACTGAAGAAAATAGTGAGGAGTGTTTTTCTATTCTTTAGAAACGAGAGAAAGAACGTGCCCATTCTTCTAGAACGTACTGGTCAGAGGCCCGAACTAGGCAAGGACTGTTGATGTCATCACGAAGGAAACAGATGTAAAAGTTGTCGACATATGGTATACAGTAAAACAGCTGACAGTGAAAGATGGACTTGGCTAATAATAACTTATCTATAACGGTATACACACAAAAGCATATGTGAACCCCGAAGCTTAAATGGTAAAATGAATAGAAGCTATATATGTCGTTAACTACGACTTGTTAGAATAACAAAGAAAAAAAAAAGTCTTGCTCCAACATTTCGTTATAACTATACTCTGATTTTCATCTTCCGCTAGGATACCGGTTACGTCATATAAACTCAAACACAGTGATAGCCAGTGAACGCTCTACGTTTAGGGCAATAACCCGAAACATAAGGACATTACATTAAGACTGACTTTTTTTAGTCTATATACATCTAAAATTTTCGAAATTACAGTAATTTATTTCAAATAAAACTGCATTTTTCGTAATTTAACACGCGTATGTTTGTTTATTTGTTTGTTTGTAATTAAGCACAAAGCTACACAATGGGCAATCTGTGCTCTGCCCAACACGGGTATCGAAACCCGGATTCTAGCGTTGTAAGTCCGCAGACATACCGCTGTGCCACTGGGGGGCCAATACGCGCATGAAAGATAAACTAGTACAAATAGCAGTGTTTGTTTGTTTATGGAATTTCGCGTAAAGCTATCTGTGCTAGTAATCCCTCATTTTGAACTGATAGACTAGAGGAAAAGCAGCTAGTCAACACCATCTACCACCAACTCTTAGGCGGCTACTCTTTTACCAACGAAAAGTGGGATTGACCGCCACAATATAACGTTCCCACGGCTGAAAAGGGTTAGCATGTTGGATAACAGGAGTGTAACTCACAAACTGTAGATTTCGGGTCGAGCCCCCTAACCACCAGGTCATGTATCTGCGTGGGACAAATGTGGGCGTATACATATAAAGAGGTAGCTGTGAGGGTGTACCTTCTATCAGGTTTAACCTCTCTCCCGGGCTTAGTATGTAAATGAAATCCTAAATTTAATTCAGAATTAGCTTCATAATATCTTAAACTTCATCCTTTCATTTTTTGTAGCCAGTTGTGGAAAGGTAGGTTGCTGCTGCTAACGAAATCAGGTTGTACTGAAGATAGATAATCCCAGTGTTTTGTAATTGATGATTTACTGTTGTTACCGACCGAATAAGCCCATGAAAAACTCTGCCCACGTGGACCGGCAATGATAAAAGTCGTTTCACGTTTTTTCGAATTTTCTTCCCAACAGATAAAAAAAAGAATAATTTAAAATGGTTCTATCGACCGATCTTACAGTGCAAAGTTATTTCTGTATATTTTGTTTTCTTCTTCTCTTATCCTTTATTAATAATGTCTGTGATCAAAAGTTCCTTTTTTCGAATTTTCTTGGTGCTTATATCATTTCGACATTAGTGTACATTTATACCACTAGATGGCCACTATGTCCAACAGCTCGCTCTACGTACCTCAAGTACCAGTTCAAATTGATTTACATAGTTATCACTAGATGGCACGACTTATGTTTGGCCACAAGACAGGCTGGATGTATGTTACAGTGTTATGCTGTTTTTGGGTCTCTGGAGTACATCATTTATAAGGAAGAGAAACAAACATAAGATGTATAATCCCTTAAGGTTTAATCCAACTGGATTAAAAGTTTTTGCTTCTTTCATGTATGATGATATCATTCATATGAATATTCACTTGACATATCGTATTATATCTTATCCTGCGGGTTAAGTGCTTGATTATTTCTCGTAAAAATGTTAGGAACTAAGTAAATTTTGGAAATTTATATTGTCAATAAAGTTATTTTTCTTCGTCAAACGATTCTGTGCTTATGTCAAAAAAATATATCCATGAAAAACATACTTATATTACCCTTTTAAATTGACTTTTTGTATAGAGTAATTTTCTTCAAAAACATCATATGACAGTTAAATTCTAAGCAATTCAAAACTCCAGCAACTTCTGTTGCCTGGGGTTAGCCAAGGTTTTAACATGTTTTATGTATAAATACTTACACCAAACTTTTTGTCTCTCTTTTTTTTTTTTCAGACTTCACGTAAGTCGATACCAGCAACATAACTCTGGTGACTAAGACATGTAATTGAGTTTTGCATTTAAAGTGTCGTGTCCTGAAGGGAATTTGATATCAAATATCCAATGCTCGATACAGATCAATTACTTCACTCAACTAAGAACGTTGCAGAGAGGTATGTTCCATTGTAATTAGTTTACGATTTTCTTACCGGTTTTGATTTGTAATTTGAATAGGATAAAATTGAGTTTGAGTCTTCACAAATAGAAAGATGTGGGTTTCAATAGAAAATTAAAGGAACGGAATGTAACGTAAATAACAAGCTGTCGAGCGTTTTACAGCCAATTGGAGAAGAAAACGTATCTCTGGCAACGTACCAAAAGTATTCCATTATTAAGAGGGCCACGAGAAGTCGAAATTCCTTGTGATATAAAGTGACACACAAAAAACTATGCTTGTTTGTTTTTATTGTTAAGCATAAAGCTACACAGTGGGCTATCTGTGCTCTGCTCACCGAAGGTATCGAAACCCCATCATTAGCGTTATAATCTCGCTCGTAGACTTATCACTGAACCACCTGGTGGCAAAAAAGTATAATATGCATCAAAGGATATGCCAGTCATGTTCGTGACCTGGAACCGTATACTGAAATTTAATGTTTCACGAAGTAACACTTTATTTCTTCAAATACGATTAACAACAGTAATTGCAAAAGCTTGTGAGTTTTCAACTAAGTATGACACTCTTACACTTGCATGGTTTCATAGTTTTTCTTCATTATACATTTTCTTATCATCCCTAAAGATTCGCGTCCCGAGCGCGGATTGTGAATCCAAAGATTAACGATTCGCGTCCTGTTGCCGCAATGTGCACTTCGCACTTTGGATTTGTGAGTTCGTTAGAAGAATGAAGGTCAAATCACACTTTTCAGTGAAACAATTGTACCTAAAATTTGGTGCTTAGTGCTCATAACTATATGTCTTCCCTCTAGTCCCTCAAAATCTGGGACGGTTATTTTTGAATAGTCCATGTACAGCTTTTCTTGGAATCGCGCGTTACTACATAATTAACTATATAATTAGTTTGTAATATTGAATGCTCCCTGTGTGTAGAATTAGTAACCAATCAAGAGCATTATACATTTATTTGGCCACAGACTCAAGTAGGTTCTGTATTTCTATATACAAAGGGACCAGTTCTGTCTGCAATGTGAACGTGCCTTAGTGGTGACGAGCACCTTTTAATTAAAGGCTTGTCTACGACATTGGTTTGAATTATCACATGTTCAGATTCAGATGTCTGAGTTATCACACGGTTAAAATTACGACCTCTGAGTTGTTAAATAATTAAAACTATGAATCATACAGTTCAGCGAACCTTTATTTCTTTGTCATTAACTATTTCTTATCTAGGAGGTCCCAGCGCAGTCAAGATGTTAGCGAGCGCGGACTGTGAATCCAAAGATTCCTAATCGTTTACTATTTGTTACTGCTCTTCACACTTCGTCCCACCCTACTGATAAATAATATAGTTAACTATGTAGTAACGCGTGATTTCATCAGATTATTTACTATGTGTTCCTTCTCGTTACACTTTGTGTCATCCCTACTGATAAATAATACAGTTAATTATGTAGTAACGCGTCATTCTGTCAGATCATTTATTATTTGTTCCCTCTCGTCACACTTAGTGCCACCCCTACTGATAAATAATATAGTTAATTATGTAGTAACGCGTGATTCTGTCAGATTATTTATTATTTGTTACTCCTCTTCACACTTAGTGCTATCCCTACTGATAAATAATATAGTTAATTATGTAGTAACGCGTGATTCTGTCAGATTATTTATTATTTGTTACTCCTCTTCACACTTAGTGCTATCCCTGCTGATAAATTATATAGTTAATTATGTAGTAACGCGTGATTCTGTCAGACTATTTGTTACTCCTCTTCACACTTAGTGCTATCCCTGCTGATAAATTATATAGTTAATTATGTAGTAACGCGTGATTCTGTCAGACTATTTGTTACTCCTCTTCACACTTAGTGCTATCCCTACTGATAAATAATATAGTTAATTATGTAGTAACGCGTAATTCCATTAGATGATTTACTATTTGTTACTCCTCTT